GGGTCCTGTCCCAGGTTATGCACAAGAAGGGTAAAATTCTTGTGTGTCGGGTGGAACTATGCCTTTTTTTTTTTTTTTAAAGATTTATTTATTTATGCATACAGGGCTGGGATACAGGACAGGAGTGGTGAGAGGCTTCACCAGAGACAGTGGGGAGCAGAACAGGCCGACTGACGAAATACACTGCTGAGGGGAGCGGCGGGCAGGTCAGGAGAGGTCTGCCACGCCATGTGGTCACCTCCGGGGCAGGTGGGGATCGAACTCATGTAGAAGTAGCTTTAGCTTATCAGTGCCATGCTTTAACCAGCTGTGCCACCAGGGAGGGTCCAGGACTATGCTTTTGCTGGAGCTGAGTGGAGACAAGCCTTCTTCAGTCCAGCCGGGAAGGCCTCCCGCCGGAAGGGGAGCCCAGCCCAAGAGAGCCCAGCAGTAAGGGTGCATTGTGCTGGGGGCAGTGGCATCAGCCGGGGTGTGTCTGTCGGGTGGAGGGTCTTACCCATCCCCCAGCTCTCTGTGCAGTCCGCGGTAGAGAACAACACCATCTTTATTTGCCAGGAAAAACAAGAAAGTTCCATGGCCTTTCAGTCAGCTTCAGACTTTCCCAGTTGCTTTCTCCTCTCACCATCCATCCTCCGGCCTGCCTGCGTTGGCTCTTTCTTCGGCGTCTTCTCCTTGTTAGTCCCTCAGCCAGCCTCTCTGGGGCTGTGTTTTCTTGCAAATGGCTGTGTGAACCTGTTTTTCATCTTGAAGCTGAATACTCAATTTCCTTCCTTCTTCGTCCCTTTCTCCCCAACCTTCTGTCACCCGACTGAGGTTCACCCTCTGCGGTGGTGTCCTCTGGAGCCTCCTGAACGTACCACACGGAGCAGTGAGGCCCTCTCGTGGCACTTGCGTGGCCATCAGCGCTCAACTTCGGTGCCTCTGTGGCGAGGGCCCTGGTGGGGGCACAGCAACGGCAGTAGCTCCCTCTGAAATCCTGCCGCAGCCTTCCGCTCCCTCTCACCGCATTGGTCCTCAGACAACCCCAGGGAAGGTGTCCTCAGCCATTACCCCCATTTTATAGATGAGGGAACTTAAGGCCCGGGGTTAATTTAGATGAACAGCTGACAAGCGTGGGACCAGGAAGTGGACAGACACTGTTCTGGTTTAGAGCCTTTGCCTTAACCGCTGCACGGTACTGTCTCTACAATTTGGGGGACACTGATTTGTGCCAGGTACTGTTCTGAGGCCTTTATCACTCCCTCTACCCCACAAGGCCCTAGAAAGTACAGGGCTGCCATTTCCTCTGCCGTTGGGGCTTGTCACAACACCTTCACGTTAGTGCCCAGGCGGAGGTGAGCCGGGGTCCACAGGCCAACACTGTGTCACAGCACTCGTCTCGCTGTCTTGTCAGCCTCGTCTCTGCCTCTGTCAGACCACGAGCCCCTGAGGGCGGGCCGCTGTTTGCAGCCTTACAGTGGCTGCCGGACACTAGCCGTGAGAACGAACCCGGCAGCCAAACGGTTGGCTCAGTGGCTGAGGTAAACGCATATGCCTAGCTGTGGGAGCCACTGAATCTGCTGGAATGACATAAAAGGGAGCAGAGTTTTTCTCATATGAGAAACAATGCTTGCTGTAAGTATTTTGCTCCGTCATGAAAATGCCCTTGCCGTCCAAGGGAAAGGTGAAGAAGGCCCGTTATGAGTTCTGTTTTCACCCTATTTAAGACTGGACGTGCTGACTGGAACCAAAGCCCCCCATCCTGCCGTGCCTCTCTGGCGGAGTGGAAATGCGGCTGTTCAGACCTCTGTGTTAGGCACCCAGGTTTTACAGTCCTTGCCAGTCAGCTCCGCGCCGCACCCCGCGGTCACAGCGCCCTCTGGAGACAGCCGGTGGTATTGCCGCGCCTCGCTTCTACACCTGTGTCAGAACTCGCAAATTGCATTTCCTGTTGAGTCTCTGCGGCCCCATTTCATAATTTCTCTGATGACTTTATTTACGCTTTGATCAAATCAGCAGTTGTTGTCTGGCCCTTTGTTCAGAATTTCAGCCCTCCTCGATGTTCATATAGCCAAGTTCCATTTGGAGCTGTTCACTGCCATAACCCTTGAATTAAAAACAGCACAGGTCAAGTTGAAAGCAGTGCTGGGAGATGAGGAGCAGCTACCCAGTGTCCCAGAGGGGCGGTCGGGTGCGGGCAGGAGGGGCAGGTACATTTCCCAGCCATGCCTTCTGAGATTGTCCCACCTGCCTGGCTTCACACTTGCCGAAGGATGAGGAGGGCACAGAGGAAATTAGGTGAGGCCCTAAAATTGGACCCTCAAAAGGAAGTTCCCCTTTGCTGTGATTGGCCTAAGTGGTTATATTTAGCAGGGCAGAAATCAGCTATAAAAATAGTCTGTGACTTTTCCCCCATTGTCAGGATCACAGTTTTCGTTCTAATTTTTTGCAGCACAACAGAACTGAGCTGAACCATAAACACTCATCTAATCCAGATCTCTGCCTTCCACCAGCAATTGAAAACAGACAGTTATTTGTCTCCTTCTTTAAAACCCCAACAAAGGAAAATTCTGTTTCTCACTTGTTCCACTGTTGAACATGATTTTTCACTGACAAGCTCTAAATTTCTCATGAAGTAGTTTTTAAAATTTTTCGGGGGATGTAAGTTCATGGATTATAATCTTTATATGTAAGAAGAAATCCCCGTATGGTAGTCTTCATATGTAAGAAGATGATCACTTTAAATTCAACCTTAAACATTACTCAGTATCTGACTCCCACGAGGTTCCTGGTGTTCCTTAGCTTAGCTGAGACATAGTCCCTTTCTTTATCTTTCGAAGCCCATGTTGGCCTTCATTGTCAACCCTGAAGCCTCTCGTTTCTCCCACTCTGCTGCTTTTCCAGTGTCCGTCATCCCCCTACCTGGGCACATCCCCAGATGACATGGTAAATTTTCCCTTGAGTCATCAAGGTTTAAATAGCTGTACTGAAATATTCCTATGCAGTTCACCCATTTAAAGTTTGCCTTTTAGTGATTTTTAATACACTCAGCTGTCACTGGCTTAACATGTATGTGTAGCTGTCACCAGAGACAACTGTAGAATATTTTCAACACCTCAGGAAGAAGCCCCATATTCTCCAGCTGTATGTAGCCCCCTTGACCCAGCAATAGGCACTATACAACCTCTAAATCTTTCTGCCTCTGTTTTGAAAATGCCTGTTTTCCTGTTCTGGGCTTTTCATGTACATGTGATCCTACAGTATGTAGTCTTGTATGATTGGCTGCTTCGCTCTCTCTTTTTTTTTTTTTTTTTTAAAGATTTATTTATTTGTGCATACAGAATTGGGATACAGGCCAGAGGCTCGGGGGCGGCGAGAGGCTTCACCAGAGACAGAGCGGGGAGCAGAACAGGCAGATCTACGAAGTACACTGCTGAGGGGAGCAGCGGGCGGGTCAGGAGAGGTCTGCCACGCCATGTGGTCACCTCCGGGGCAGGCGGGAATAGAACTCATGCGGAAGCGGCTTTAGATTTTCAGTGCTGTGCTTTAACCCGCTGCGCCACCAGGGAGGGCCTCGCTCTCTCTTTTTAAGATATTATTATGCACACAGGTAACTGGGGTACAGGCCAGAAGTGTCGGGGAGAGTGGTGAGAGGGTTTACCAGAGACAGAGTGGGGAGCAGAACAGTTGGTTGGATTGACTGAACTATACTGCTGAGGGGAGCAGCAGGAGAGACAGGAGAGGTCTGCCATGCCATGTGGGTCAGCTCCCTCTTGGGGATCGAACTCATGCTGCAGTGGCTTTAACTCCTCACATCACCAGGGAGGGCCTGACTGGCTTCTTTTTACTTAGTGCAATCTTCTCAGGCTGTGCCAATGTTGTATTAGTATCTCGTTCCTCTTTGTAGCCAAATAGTCCCTTTCACAGCTGGTTTCTCTTTCTTTCAGTTGCTAGACATTTGGGTTGTTTCCACCTCTGGGCTGTCGTAAATAATGCTGCTGTGACCATGTGTGCACAGGTTTTCATTGATGCTTTCTTGTTTCTCTTGGGTGGGTACGCAGGGGCCATCTTGCTGGCAGCCCAAGTGGAGAGCGAGAGGGGCGGCCTCACATCCCCACCAACATCGTGTGAGGACTCTTGATAGCTCTGTGTCCTCCCCAGGACTTGCTGTGTGTCTCCTTAATTCTAACCTCCTATGTTACGGTGCTTTTGACTTTATATTTCCCTAATAATTGATAATGTTGAGCTTATGTCACATGCTTTGTGGCTATTTGTATATCTTGAAAAAAATGTCTGTTCAGTATGCCCATGTTTTTAAATGAGTTACTTGTCCCTTTATTGTTGAGTTAGCAAGAGTTTTTATTTTTTATACTCTAGATAATAGATACCACATTTCTTCTCATTCTGTTCTGAATTCATTCTCAGGACATTCATCTTATCTTTTCCCTTTCTTGATAGAGTCCTTTGAAACACGAACGTTTTTAGTTCTGACATGGTTCAATTGATTTATTCATGTGTGAGATTTCTATGTTAAATGTTAAAAGCTACCAGGTATATTTTTATTCTTCAAGGTAAAAGCATAGGAAATGGGATGTGCTGGAAACAGCAGCATCCCTCAAGAGCCTTTGGCCGGGCAGCATTCGCTCTTCTGTTAGGAACCGTGATCTGAACCAGGAATTTCACCCAGGGCTGCTTCTCCTGTACTCTGCGGTCATTCTCTTCTTCCAGTCTTTAGCAGGTTTTGAACCTTCCAGGGAATTTAAAATAAAATCTCAACTAATATCAAATAAAAGAGGAGTGGTAACACTGTGCAAAGCCTTATGGTTATTCTGATTTTTAATATCCTACTTATATCTTATAAACAGACTTACACAGTCCTTTCACAATGTTCTGCCGCTCACCTAGGGACCACTGCATATTCTGTTTACACAGATCAAGTCTCCACACCGGGCGGTTGCAGTAGCCATGATAATGAAAGGTGACAGTGTTCACACGCGTTATCTGTCTCCCTGTTCCTACAGGTATGGCAGATCCCAGAAAATGGACTCACCCTTTCCCTGACCGAACCTGTGGTGATTTTAGAAGGCCACTCGAAGAGAGTTGGCATCGTGGCCTGGCACCCGACAGCCCGCAACGTGCTTCTTAGTGCAGGTAAGAAGAGCTCAGCAGTCCTCTCCCAGGCCCTTGCTTTGGGTCCTCACAGCCCTTTGTACTGAGGGGAATGTCAGAGGCAGCTTGGTTGTGCACTTTATAGCACTGAGGTGGACCCTTAGGGCCCTGCTGTGGTATCCTGGCGCTCGAGTTTGAGTGTGCTGTGGTGATCCCATGGACACTGTAGACCCCTACGCAGAAAGAAGAGCAGGGTCATCCTTGCCTGTGATGTCAGCAGGTCCCTGGTTTCTGAGGACCCCTGACAGATGCTCGAGTTTTAGCCATTCCTGACTTGGAAGAAGGAACGGTGGCAGGACCCAGGGCTCGGGCTCCTGCCCAAGTGAGGTTTCCAGTTTTGGGGTGGTCATGTTAGGCAAATATCTTCCAACCCCAAAACATACTTTCCTTTTCGCTTTAGCAAGCCGTACGTGTGTGTTAGAGACCATATATATATATATAAATAAAAACAAAAGCAAGAAAATAAGAACACCACCTCCCAGAGGGAGCGTCATACCCGCCATTTTATGGCTCTTTCCAGAAGGGATTTTTGTACACAATCCAGAAACGATTTTATGCAGGAAAATGGGTTCAGATATTTTACACATAACCTGCTTTCTGCCCTTAGTGACACATTGCGGTCCTTCTCATGTGCCATTTAGTGCTCTTCCTGTGGTGTTGTTAATGACTGCATTAGAGTCCGTTGTCTTCCTGAATTTATTTAATCAGTTCCCTATTTGTAGACATTGACGTTTCTGATTTTCTGTTTATTAAACAGCTCTGTCATGAACCCCCTTGTGTTCTTACTGCTTTTCCACTAGAGGCGTTTCCAAATTTTACCTGACAGTTCGTTTTCTTAGTTTAGAATTTTAGGTTTTTATTTTCTTTTATATAATGTCAACACAAAGGACAGGAGAGAGCTTTCGGGGTGATGGATATGTCTCTTTCTATACGAGTGTATGTCTGTCAAAACTTACCCAGTGTATACTTCAAGTGGGTGCGTCGCATTCTATATAAGTTATACTTCAGTGAAATGATTTATTTAGGGCCCTCCCTGGTGGCGCAATGGGTAAGTGCGCAGCACTGCAAGCCAGCCTCCTGGCCTACATGCCTACTGAACCTGGGGTGTTTGGTTCCTCTGAAGAGAAAACTTCATTCGTTCTGATGTTTGTTTTACTAGACAAAGAAACTTAGAATCACTTGGGGTCCACCAAGCCCAACTCTTAAAAAGCACAGGGTTGAATCTTCTGGCATTTTCTTTCTTTCACGAGCCCTCACTGCGCATTTCTTTCATGTCGCGGCGTTTCTGCTCGTCGCTGCGGTTTGACGCCCAGCACCTTCTCAGTGGTGCAGTGCCTGACCAGTTTTCAGGATGGTCGCTTACCGGTGTCTCTAACCTCGGGGGCTGTGCTTGCTGCAGGCTGTGACAATGCCATCATCATCTGGAATGTGGGGACCGGGGAAGCCCTGATTAACTTGGACGACATGCACTCGGACATGATCTACAATGTCAGCTGGAACAGGAATGGCAGTCTGATCTGCACAGCTTCCAAAGACAAGAAAGTGCGGGTGATCGATCCTCGGAAACAAGAGATTGTCGCTGTGCGTACTCTCCGGCCGGACCCGAGTGTGTGCAGCCGTCAGTGAGCGTGAGCTTCTGTGCTTCAAGGCGGGCAGGCGAGGCTGGTGGTGCCGTGGAGGCATCAGGCAGGGCCTGTGGCCATCTGCCAGCCTCTCAGCTCTGTTCTTTTCAGGGATGTTTGTTTCTAGCTTGTATCCAAGTCCTATTTCTGACTTGGTGACCATATTTTCGCAAAGAAACCTTTTTATCAGCGCACTAGAATCCTTAAGAGTCTGTCCAGCTAGATCAGCTAACGCAGTTACCCGCCCTCTCAACTTAAGCACTGGATACTGAGGGGTCAGCCCTGTTCCAGAATCCATTAAGATGCCCGATGAGAATGTCCGAAGGCCTCTGAACAGCTGTGCCTTTAATTTCTTCCACCAAACTAGACTTGAACAGAATCACATTTCAGGACAGGAGGTGGACATTTGGACTTCAGTCAGGCTTGAGATGACAAGTGTTAAGGCCAAGAATGCTTCTTGTGGGCCTGCTTCCCTGAGGTACAGGGCTCTCTGCTGAGGGGCCTCTCGAGATTCAGAGCCGCGTGTGCCTGGTGCTTATTGAGCAGTGGGATCGTGCCTGGCCCCGTGCAACTTGCTTTTCCCACAGGAGCCTCGGGGGGAGGGGTTAGCTAGACTCTGTCCTAGAAGTAGGAGCTGTGGTCGAAACCGTGGGGTGTCCACCCGCTTGTGGTGCTGTCGGGGAAACGGACGCTCGGCAGAGCTCGTCTGTGTGTGGGTTTGTTTTGTTTTTGCATGGCGTGAGCTGAGGCTGGCAGCAGGGCCGGAGAGTCAGACTCCCAGCCAAGGCCTGGCCGGTGGCTCTCACCGAGGGGCCTTTGCAAGATCACCTCGTGGCCGTGTCCTCACGTGGGAAGGGGATGTGCTCAGTCCTTGCTCACGCATGTGTGCACACTTCATATGAATGGCTGTGGGGTGTGATTGGGCTGTGTGTGAGCCCCTATCCTCCTGGCTATTTGAATATGTATGATGTGCCTCCCCCAGGAGAAGGAGAAGGCACACGAAGGCGCAAGGCCCATGAGGGCCATCTTCCTGGCCGACGGGAACGTCTTCACCACCGGCTTCAGCCGCATGAGCGAGCGGCAGCTGGCGCTCTGGAACCCGGTATGCCCTCCCCCGCCCGCCCCTTGCTCTCACTCGTGCTCTTTCCGGGAGGTCTCCGGGTTGGGGAGTCAGTTATGGGATTCTTAGTTGACTCTTTTGAACCGCATGTCTTAAATTGGATGTGAAGTTCTTTCTTGCCCTCACTGGAAATTATTGGCAAGTGTATTTCAGAAGCACATTCTTGATACTTCCAAGGAGTCTGTGTCGACTGTATATTGTGAAAAGAAGGCAGCAAGAATTGTGTGTTTAAGCACTGAAAAATAATAAGCTTAGTTCTGTTTTATAAAGACTATGATCCAGGGTCTACATCAAATAGTTATGCTTGGGAAAATGATCATAGCACATGTGTGAAAATACTGAACTCGATAATGACAAGCTCCACACAGACCAAAATGGCCACTGTTTCTGCTGCTCACTGCACCGAGGATGATGGAGTTTGTTGTTGTTCTTGTATCTTTTAAAGAACATTATTTGCTTTTTAAAAAGAAAAAAGTATTTAAGAAAGAAGAGTCACAGAGGAGAAGGACTCCTTGCGTCCCATCCCGAGGTCACAGAGACAGTTGCATTGATCGTGGCGTGCAGGCTGCATGCTTGTCAGTGGGCCGGTTCCGCTTCCTGTCATGGAGGCGGTGACAGCCAGATGCTAAGGTGCACTGCTGGAGCCTTCGGTATTTGCGGGAAACGGCTCACTTGAAGGATGAAAGAATGTTTCATAAGGTTCTAGGGATTCATCTTTAAAAAAATGTCTTTATCTGTATTTTCATTTTTCTCCCAGAAAAACATGCAGGAGCCGATCGCGCTTCATGAAATGGACACGAGCAACGGCGTGTTGCTGCCCTTCTACGACCCTGACACCAGTATCATTTACCTGTGTGGAAAGGTACACGGGGCCCTGATGGCTGGCGCTGAACTCGAGAGCACGGGTTTATCCTTCAGATGTTTTGAGGATGAGCATATGTTGTATCACTTTCACAGCACTGTTTTTAAGTTGTGCCATTTTCATTGAGGTAACGTTGGTTTACACCACTGCATTTTAACACTTTGATTTGTCTGATGTGTGTGTGTCGAGCTAGAACGAGGGCAGGTGCCTAGCTTCCAGTCTCCGGGCTGGCGTGCGTGTGACTGGCCAGTTGTGTGGCGGTGGGGTCCCGTGCTCAGTGCTCTGAACTGAGGCCAGGGCGTCGGGCAGGTCTGCCGGCTCGTCACTCGGGCTTCAGTGGGACGGGAGTGCGTGCTCGCTTGTGTTTTCTCCTCGAGGTGCTGTGTGGTTGATGGTTTTGCACTGCTCTGAATTGGGGTCAGGGACATAGAAGCACTGTGCCATGTAGCATGCTAAAATCTGTCCAGTAGCCTAAAGTTGGCACAAGTGCACGCGATGCTGGCCTGGACTCGTGAGGCGAGAAGGGCTTTTTAGATGAGCGTTTTAGGGCCTCAGAGACTCTCCAGGAGATCCTTGTTCCGGGTCCTTAAAATATGTGATCTGACTGAAGCTTGAGGAGGTGACAGTTGTTGGAGGAAGATGTGGCCATGCTGAACTCAACCTTCCTGTCCAGCCTCGAGATCGTCACTAACTGTTGGTGGCTTTTATCGTTACTTCCCTTTAGCGGGTGGTAGCCTCAGTATTCCATCTTCTCTGACAGGTTCAGTTTTCCTCAGAGATTTTGTAGTTCAAACAGCTGAATTGACAGCCAGGGAGCTTTGCTGTGTCACTCAGAGCTGTTAGGATCTCTCCTTGCTGGCCAAGCGTGTGTTGCTTCCACACTTCCCACACTTGACTGAGCACACTGCACACCTGCTTTACATGCTCATGCAGAGTTTCTCAGAAACCAAGCTCTTGTCTGTTTCCTGGAAAGGCACCTTGCCCCTATTGTTGACAGCGGCTGCATGTGCACGCCCTGCCCGGCCGGTTCTGCCAGGCACGTCAGCACAAACCAGAGCAGCAGCTCCCTGACAGGGCACGCGGTAGAGAGCTATTTCAAGTATGCAGGAAACAAATACATGTTCAGCTTCTTTTCATTAGATAACTGAAATGAGGTAAAGTCATAGAACTGAGAGCGTGTGATAGGCTTGGCTGCTTTTCAGAGACAGAGCCACAGACGCCCCTCCCCCCGGCTCACCCCCTCCCCCCCTCCCGGGCCACTGTCACTGTCTAGTTGGTGCAATACTGACGATTATTTGTACCTAGGAGACCTGGATAAGCTTCAGATCTCCAGAAACAATCCAAATGTCCTGGGCAAAACTGACCTAGAATTTTACATGTAACGAGACAGCACTACTCTCTGAAGTTAAAGGGGACTCACGAAAGGAATAGTTTCTTAATTAGAAAAGTCTTGTTTTTACCAACATCTGCTTGTCTGCTGGGGGGCCCTCAGCTCTGCGAGCCCAGGGAATGCTCTGCGGCCAGCGGCCACCTCTCTGCTCTCCTCCTGGTCTTGGTCGGTGCTGGCCCTGAGCGGTACACTTGCTGGCAGAGTTGGTAACATTTGCTCTGACTCTTACTTGGCGTCCAGCTCGTTGGGGCAGAGTTTGGCCTTCAGAAGCACACTCCCGATGGTATGATGTTAAGTGATTGCTTAATACGGCAAGCTCCTTTTGTTTTTTAAAAGACGATGAACAGGTTGGCAACTGAAGCAGAGACTGGGTTAATTCTGGGTTTTAAGGGGAGCGACATGTCTATGCCAGATGATTCAGTTGACATTAAATGCAAACTTTTCTGACTTCTTGTAGGGAGACAGCAGTATCCGCTATTTCGAGATCACAGATGAATCCCCTTACGTCCACTACCTCAACACGTTCAGCAGCAAGGAGCCTCAGAGAGGCATGGGGTACATGTCCAAGAGGGGGCTTGATGTCAACAAATGTGAGATTGCCAGGTAAAGAATCCATTTTGGAAGGTATTCAAATTGTTTCTGTCAGCTGAGTTGTATAAGAGCAATGCAGCTTCTAATAATTCTCCAAAGCCCGAGCTTGCTATGCTGTGTGTGGTGTAGGATTAATATCTCATTTCCTGTCCACATTTAGAAAGAAGAGGTTCCGAGCAGTAAGGAACTTTCAAAATCTTTTAATCCAATTGCGTCCCGCTCCGTTCTTCAGCTTATGTACCTTCAAGGATAACAGTTAGATGACTTAGATAGCGTGCGTGTTCATAACAGTGAGGCCACCACCATCCTTTGTTCAGGCCAGGCTCCAAACTGGCTTGTGGACCCTGCGGAGGCTGAGCTGAACTAGAGAAGCCAGCGCTGTCCAGCACGCCTGGTCTCCTGCAAGCTCACCTCAGGGAATCTGCATTCCCTGAGGAATATAGAATATTCAAAATATAGAATATTTTGACCATATTCTATAGGGGCAAGCCATTTATTTCCCCACCAATAGTCAACGAAGGCCATCAGTGAGGCCACTGACCATTGGCCATTTAAACACAGAGAAGCCATCACCGTTCGCTCTTTGATGGTACCAGGTGGGAGCACACCTCTGGCTGTCTGCCCGGTCACATGATGAAATAACAGACGCCTGTCTTAATAAACATCAGAGTATTTTTCATATTACTAGCAATGGATTTGGGACACATAGCTCTTAAAGCTGGAGAGTAATAAAGGAAAACTGTCACAAATAATTTAAAATGGTAGTTTAAACCAGACTGATCTCAAGCGGTGGTTAAAAACAGGTTGAGCCTGAGCTTAATGTTACACCCAATATTGGGAACACGTTTTACTGTCCCCCCGGAGTTTAAGCGCCTGTAGTAAGCGCAGTCGGGCAGGCTGCCCCCTCTTCACGAAGTGTGCCTCAGGCTTTCGCTGTCCGTCAGGCTCTGTGCTGGGGCACTGTGCCCTCCGCCCTCTGACAGCCCGGGGCTCTCCTTATCTGCACTTCATTGACGTGCGCCTGGGGCTCGGGGAAGCCTCACTGGCTCGGCCTGGGCGCTGCTTGGGCGCGAGTCAGACCGTTGCCGCCGGCTGCGGAGTTTGTGCTTCACGTTCTCTGTCCACGTTGTGGATGATCCGAAGTGTTTTCAGGAGGGTTAAGACGAAGCGTTTTGCTTGGAAGCCAAAGCTTTAATTCCTGGGTGGTTTTCCTTTTTAAAAATCACATTTACACTTACAATTATTCAGCCTCCTCGGTTGGCAGGAGACCTGGCATCCGAGCAGATGCCGTCTGCCACGTGGGAGTGTTCTCTCCCGCTGGCTCAGTGACTTCTTCCAGTGACTCACCGTCGGTGGAGGTGTCATTTCCACCGCCCGTGATAACTGGAATTGCCACCAACCCAGATGACGATGACTGGGATTTGGCGGTCACCACGTCGCATACCTCTCTGCTCCAGGTCCTCACCTCCAGCCCACTGACCCTGCTTCCGCTTTGTGGTCAGAGACGTGGGGTGCAGGTCGGGTGAGGCGGGGCCCAGAGCGTTTCCTTCCACATGGCATCGCAGAAGAGCTGTTGTGGAGACGTGGCCACCTCCTCAGCCTGACGCAGCCTTGTTTTGCTTTGCCTTCAAAGGTTCTTCAAGCTTCATGAGAGAAAGTGTGAGCCTATTATCATGACCGTCCCCAGGAAGGTACGTGGCTGACTCCCTAGGTGGGCCATTGAAGAGATAAGAATTAAACCCCGGGCTCCTTTCTTCCTTACCTAAGGCTTTCCCCACCATGTCTTTTGCAGTCAGACCTTTTCCAAGATGACCTATATCCTGACACAGCAGGGCCTGAAGCAGCACTAGAGGCAGAGGAGTGGTTTGAGGGCAAGAACGCAGATCCCATCCTCATCTCCTTGAAGCACGGGTACATTCCAGGCAAAAACAGGGATCTCAAGGTGGTTAAGAAGAACATTCTGGATAGCAAGCCCACTGCAAACAAGAAGTGCGACCTGATCAGTGCCCCCAAGAAAACCATGGACACAGCCAGCGTGGTAAGCCTGCAGGGAGCTGAGGGGGTGCGTGGCCCGTGCCATCTCGGTGCCCTTGAAAGTGCCTTCCCGTCCTGGCGACAGGGAACTCCTTCCAGCTGGGCTTCCAGTGGACAGAGGTGCGTCCTGCCCAGCGAGCCTTCCAGGCACGTCACCTTCATGTTTGGCGCCACACTGCCCCTCTGACTCTGGTTTTTATGACGATGAGGATAGAAGCAGTTCTGTTACTGTCTTAGGGTGAATAGGGCTCCCCGAGTTTTTAAAACTCTCTTTCCTCAAGCCATCTCAGAAGGAAGCGAGCTGGGGGCCTACGGCACAGCGCAGGGAGGGGGTGGTCACAGACCGGCGCCTGCAGCGGGGGCCGAGTGGCCGCTCCACAGGGATTGGCAGCGGAGGAGGACGGGGCTGGCTCTGCAGAGCCGGTGGCCCAGGAGGGGGTCACTGCAAGGAGAGGAGGGGCACGGGGACTTGGCAGGCTGTGGGGTTTCTGGGGGCCCCGGGGAGCACTGCCAACTGGCCAGGAAAAGGTAAGCAGAATGAAGCGGCGGGAATGCCGGAGGAGCCAGCACTTGGGCGGGAGCACCAAGGCAGCCGTGTGGGACCTCAGCGACTGAGTTTCCAAGGCCTGGTCCTCTGAAGCAGTTAGTGGGCAGGCTGCGGGCTTAGCCCTGGAGGTGGGGGCCCTGAGGGTGCCCCGCACAGTCAGAGGCCCTGCGGCTGCACTGGCCATTTTTAACACAGGAAACTGCATTTCACACCTAGTTACAGGTGCTTAACCACCCTCTCCCGCCCATTTTTGTCTCCTTAGCAAAATGAAGCCAAGTTGGATGAGATTTTAAAAGAGATCAAATCTATCAAAGACACAATCTGCAACCAAGACGAGCGCATTTCCAAGTTAGAACAGCAGATGGCGAAGATCTCAGCCTGAGGACCGGGCGGGGCCGGCGGCCCTGGCACTGCCTTGAAGGCCGCCCACCTCCGAAAGCAGCCAGCGATGGGCCACATTCCAGTGAGAACTCGATTCGTCTCCCAAATTTACAGAAACAAAATGTGATTTAAAGCTGAGCTTTTTATCAGAAAGCATTTTTGATGTTTTAAGTGTTACGTGACTTGTTGAACTTTTAAAAGTGCTACTTTTAAATCCCAGATATTCTCAATTTTAGAACACCAACCAGTTCTGATTCAGTGTCATGCCCAAGTACTTTTTTTTTTAATAGGGACCAATGCCACATTGCTTTTTATATTTCTTCTTTTTTAATGTTGCCAAAACCAAAAGTAGCTTTTTTTTTCTTTGTATTTTGCTACTTTGCAGTATTTGTGTGTGGGTTTTTTTTTTTTTTTCCTTTAATTTGAAAGGGACAGCACTGTGTATGTTTATAAACTAAGTGGAGATATTATTTTGTATAAGCAGCCATCTGGTGCCATCCGAGGCAGCCGCTCCCAGCGGGCAGCGCCCGCGGTGGCCTCCGGCTGGGCAGAGGCGGGCTCGCAGCCCACGTGGGTTCCTGTCACCACCCTCTCGTGCGCGCCAGAAAGTCCATTCCTGTCGTTGCCTTTCTTTCCTTTCTCTTTTCTAGAAATTAGGTGGTTGTATCAGAATGGAATTTTGCTTCTTGGTTATCTTGTGCTTCAGATGATTATAATCTAACGTAAACTAGCACGTGTTTCTGCAGTTTTGTTAAACACATGGATTCCATTGCATTATCACCTTAACTTCCCGTTGGGTTTTGGTCGTACCTGACAAGGGTGCCCGGGACAGGGCGGCACCT